CAGAGTACACCCGGATGGTATTGGTATCGCAAGAAAATCGTCGAAGCCGATATTCCACAAGTATGGACCTAGCACCGATCCCTGAGGACATCCCATTGTAAGCGCCTTCGACACAGAATGATGACCAAGTCTTAGTTTAGTAGTACCTTGTGAAAAGTACGAAGATATAAGGGAATAAATATTTTTAAAGCACCCCCGTGATTTTAATTTCAGCAACAGCATGGGCCACCATGCGTTATCGAAGGCGCCAGATATATCTAAGAAAATAGCCAGCACGTATTGAAAGGACAATGGCAGGTCCCCATACATAATTTTATTTGAACTGAAATGTTAGCGTTTAAATATCAAAAAATCCTTAACACTTGAGAATTTATTCTTGACCATTCTCATATCAAAATTACTTGCGAAAGAAGTCTAGGAAAAAAGATATTGGATTTTGAATGTTTCGAGGTTAAGTACTAACATATTGTTAATGTTTTGTTTGAAACTAGATGGCGTTGTGTGTCAGATAGCCGAAAATATTATTTTCATTATTATTACAGAATATGAAATAAAAAAAATAAAAGCATAACATCTATTCGAGTTTAACACTAAATTAAACAAAAATAAAATTACAAACGTGGTGAGTCCGGAATTTGTCAGGATCTAAACCACAGATTAAGAGATATGTACTAAACGACGACGTATCGACATTTTGAAAATATCGATGTATGTCTATTTATGTGCCGTTATCAATGACAATGTATTTTTCTCATCACACTGTGTAGTGGAAAATAACGTAACTATATTCTATTTCTTTAGTGTGTTTAAAATCGTTTAAAGAGAGTCAAAAATATTTTAAATCATTTCTAATTATGTTGATTCAGTCACTCTACCGTACGAGTGAAGACGTGGGCAGAAGCAAATTCATAATCATAATAGTGAACCTTCGGTAAATATTTCAGCCAAAGCTATAAGAATCGATTATCGATAAATTGTTCCATAATATAATATTGCCACCACGCATCCCTAGTCTTAGGTCAAATAAAATCTTCAAAAATATCTTATCTCTTATAAGACTTATACAACACATGGTGGTGTAATGATAAATCATAGAAAAAATTTTGATTAAGTTTACTGTGACTCGATTTTTTAAACGCTTAAGTTTTAGGTAAATATGTTTCTGCCATTGTTCTTTTGACTCTGTGACAAACTTTCTAACCGATATAACAGCGTCAGTTGTCGATTTACCCAACGTAAATCCAAATTGTCTATCATGAAATTTGACTCCACCTGGCAGAAGCCGGGGCACTACAAGACGTTCTAAAAGCTTTCCTAACGATGGTAACAATGTGATTGGTCGGTAGGATTTAGGATCATCCGGTGGCTTGTCGCCACTTTTTGGTATTATACGAATATTACCGCACCGCCATATACGAGGAAATATTCCTTCAGCAATGCAACGTTTAAAGACAGTGAAAATCGTGTCACCCGAAAGTTTACAAGCTTCTTTGATCATTTTGTTAGATATTTTATCATCGCCCGAAGCCTTGTTTAGTGGCAAGGATCTAATGATACCGAGAAATTCGTCTGAAGATGGTAAATCAGACATTGGAGACAGTGGTGGTTCGATGGCCCACTGCCTGATCTGTCGGTGATGATCAGTGTCGTTTTCCGGCCGATCGTCAGGTACGAGTGATTCTAAAAGATATTCTGCTGTTTCTTCTACTCCTGTGGTATATCTGTTATTAATTTTGATGTTCTGTATGTATGCAAGGTCGATTGATCTATTTGCCTTAAATTCGTGATACAAAGGTGACCACGGGCCCTCTCTATCGAGTCTATCGACAAGTTTCTGAATTAAGTTTCCCTTCGATTTTTCCACTGCAGCTCTGTAGTGGGACCTGGCAACTCTAAGAGCAATGCGAGCATTATTGTACAAATCTCCTGTTACGTTGTGTTTTTTAAAATTGTTTAATTTTCTACGAGCTTTCCGGTAGCTTCTACGTAGTTCGACTAATCTATCATTCCACCAATCACATCTACGAGTGTTAGTGATAGTTCCGCGACCAATAGATACATCAGCGCAGTATGTGAAAGTTTCTGATAGTATTTCTGCGCTTTCCTCAGCTGATAAACTACTGCGACTGAAGTCTTTGGTATGAGTTGCAAATAGTGAACCAAACAAAGCCCAGTTCGCACCTTTAGTTTTATATCTAAAATTAAAAGGAGCCCTTTGTGGATCCCGTGCAACCCTTGGTATGAATTCGTACACGATCAAGCGGTGATCACTACAGGATGCGTCCGGGAGGACACGCCATCCGGATATCGAGACGTCGCCGCGCGTAAGCGTCACGTCAATAGAAGACTCACCCATTGGGTTGCAAAAAGTTGGTGGTGCATCGGGGGTATTGTGAATAGTAAGATTCATTTCCGCAATGAAATCTTCAACCGCACAACGTCGAACCGTGTCGGTTGAACGCAACTTGCCATACCATAATGAAGATGACGCATTGACATCAGCGCCAATGATAATTTTATGTCCCACGAGGTACTGCAAGACGTAACGTAAGTGATGTAAGTGAGGATCAATAGGATGTGAATATTGAAAATAGCAGCTCACTACGTAAACCTTACAGGTAGAGGATGAGATCTCAGCAACGGCGCAGTGTGACGTCATAAGATTACGCAAACGCTACGGGACAGCTGACCCACACGGCGCCAAGCCCTCCTGGACCGGGGCGGATGGTGCCGACCCTGACGTTGTCCGCGCTGCACCCCGTCTTCTCCCGGATTACAGCGCGGACATCTTCGGCCGTCACTGAGTCGTCCAGGCCCGAGATGCGCAGTTCCGCGCACTTGGTAGGCCTGGCGACCCTGACACCATCTGTGGCTGCAAATATTCCCCGCAGCTTCTCAGCGAAGGAGTCCGCTGTCTTTGCGCCTTCAGCCCCAGGGAACTCGAGAACTCGAGCTCCCGTCTGGGCGAGGCGCATCCTGACCCCCACCGTCCCAAACTCGTTGGCGAGGCTGTCCCGGGCCTTCTTGAAGACGGCCGCATAGGACAGCCCGCCGTCAGCCGCCTCCGGGGACACGGTCACAACTACAGCCGCGGTTTTGGGCGGCTGCAGCTTCCGCGGCCTCTTTGCAGAGGCCGTTGCCACCGGCGGCGAAGGCTGGGCTTGGGCTGCTTTTTGGGCAGCCTTTCTGGCCCGCCTTCGGGACTTCGCGCCTTAGCCGGTGCCTTGGCCGGCGCCTGGGCCGGTGCCTTGGCCCCCCTCCTCGGCTTTTGGGGAGCCGATGGAGTCGGGGCAGACGCCGCCGCCGCGTAGGAGACGCGGCCTCCCACTACGGGGAGCGCGGTCGGAGCGGCGGCCTTAGGCCGCTGTGCCGACGCGAGCGGGGGGCGCATAATCGGCGCAGGGGGCAGTCTCGCCTCCAGGCCTGCCAGGCGTCCGTCCAGCATATTCCCAACTGCGATGAACACAAACCCTATACCAACCCGTCTGGCCAGCGTGGTATAGTAGGCCAAAACCTTCTTTCTAAGGAGAAGCCTATGTCCAGCAGTGGACTGTTAAAGGTTGTTGATGATGATGAAAGTGGGTAAAAATAGAAAGATTATTATGAATGTTGTATAACGAGTTATGTTTTAATTAGTTATGCGTCTAATTTGTTGTATTTAATTGGCTCCATTTATAACAACGCTCCAGGCTTTCATATTTTCTTAACATGCATACACTCAGTAGATAATAAATAATATTACATTGACCTTAAATATTCTCCCTTGAGGTACACTTCAAATCACTAGGCCTCTCTAGGGTAATTAGCTTAAGTTATAATAAAACCGTTATTGTGGGTGATTGTTGCTTTCAGTGACTGCAGTGCGGTTCATTGCACCTAGCTTATTGATTACACGTCGCCACGGCAATAGAGCTTTTGCACTTTAGTTGTCATTAGCGAAAATTTTTAAAATTATTCACAGAAGAACTCTAATTGGGTCATTTATATACATACATTTATATACATTCGTGGCAATTTAAAATATTATTACACATACTTTAACAGTAATGTTTAATATTGTTTTACAAAATTGTTTTATAAATTACAAACACATTTTTATGAATGGCAAAAAATTCATAATTGCAGCAAAAGTAAAACGTAACGCTATCAAGAAAATGGATTTAGCTTTTACTCGTATTATAAAATTTGTCCCAATTTAATTATTATGCTGTTCCGATTCATTAATTGAGAGAGCAGTCTGATTATATTAAACGGTGAGAGTACTACACATAAATAATAACGAAATATTAACGTAATAAAGGCTTGTTTCATAAAATAAATCTCTCATCTCGAGGGGTTCACTAGTAGTCAATGAAGATGCTATACTTCTAGCTCATCTTCAAATCCGCTCCAAGATGACAAAGTATAGTGTTATCATCCCAAAAATATACGCGCAAATAGTTATGTACATATACGTACATATACGCATTACAAGTTAAAAGTGAATATCTAAATTTGTTTACAAAGTTAGACTAGTTTAATTAGTTGTTGTAAGCTTACCTCCCATCGGTAGCTGATATGGTATTTCACTGCCTACATGACAAAAATTCTTCACATAGGCTTCGGCCACTTCGTGTTTATAAAGTAACTATAATATAGTTTACAGGGCAACATAAAATAACGATTCAATCTAACGCCTAATACGCTAAGCGATTACTGTAACCAAATAACAAGTCATTCCAATAATTTAAGTGATAGGATTTACTCACCGCTACGGTTTACCGCAATGACTATTACGTAATAACATACAAAGTTCAAGATATCTCAGGCTAAAGCAACAACAAAAAATAAAGTAATTAGAAATAAACCCTCAGTTTTAAAAAATAAACATAAAATTATGTAGCAGAAGATGCAAGATGCCTTTAAACTTTAAAATATTTATTTTGACGAGTAAAATATATCGTATTTTTTCTTGCATATTACAATTTCATTCGAATTACAATGATGATATCAAAACTTACCGATGGATGTGAACTCAGCGGAGGTGAGCTGTGGTGAGTTGAGCGCTAAGAGGGTCGCGAGCGCGGCGAGCGAGGCCGCCGCCCGCAGAGAGCGCTCGCCTCGCATGCCGCTCACAACATGTGCGTCACATGCCAATGAAGTGCCTGCAAATGAACCGAAATAGAAAAACCCTTCATGTTTGGTCACTTGCAAAACAATGAATAAGGGCTTTCGGTAAAATCGTTTTAAAAATCAGACATGGTCAATTGGTAGTGCTAAATATGGTAGATCGTATTTCTAACATTATTTTCTTTAGTATTTCTCTTTCAATTCAAAATAAATTTGTTTTGAAAAGCTTTTCGTTTATTTTGTGCCTCCTTTGAATACCAAAATCGTGTTTACATCTCACTCAATAAAAGGTTCTTGGAAACAGGATCAATAACTCCGCCAATTTACAGCTCGGGGTAACTTGTTTCTAACATGAGTCTCGAGACTTTCTTGAGAACAGGGTCGACCCTGTTATCAACAAAGTCTCTTTCCTAAACTTATAACATTTACTGAGAACTGCGACATTTAAGTTAAACTGATCTACCTAATGCCTGTTTTTGTATTTGTTCGCCACTAGCCGTGTGATACATAAAAAAATTATAACATACCTCTCTATGCATTAATATAAAATCTTAGGGTTTGGTGTTTTAATAGTTGTTTGCTGTCTATTTAACAAAACGATAGTGCTCACTATTAAGTTGCCTCTAAGTCAACTTACAGTCAACGTAGACATGTTTTAAAGAGATCTATGCTATACAATCTGAAAGACCCTATCGATGCTTGAAAGGCAGTGAGTTACATATTTACCAATTGAACCTTCAGATTTTTTTCTGCATAATTAGGTCTTTCTGTATTTAACTTATTTTAGTCGTGTCATTTACCTAGTATGGATTCTCTTCCAAGCCTCAATGTTTAATATAAATGTATGTATATCTGTTAGACGTTAATTTTTCGTACGTACTTCAAAAATAATTAATTAATATGAGAATCGTAATAATTTCATCACAACATTTCTGTCTTGAAAGCTTTTGTTGTTTGCAGTTTAAAAAATCGCGATATTTTGTTTGATACGAGTACTTGTGTAGGAAAAAATCATATTTTTAATAAATTGTACCTATACATTATTGGCAAAATATGTGTTCATTTTTGAGAGTGGGGAAATATATCAACTCAATAATATATAAGGCTCTTATAAGAAAAATCGGGATAAGGGATTCCGAAATGTAATTTTTAAACTGATAAACAGATCTTGAAAATTTATTAAAAAAGGCATTATTTCGTTGGTGAAAGGGCAAATTAAGAATGTTATTGTAATATCATTTTTTTTTTCACAAATACTAACTTTACAACTTTATCTACTTTACAAATTTTAAAAAATTACAACAAAAAAGTTTTCATCAAAGTTTATAATTATGTTATTATTCCTCCTGTAATTATTCCTCCTCCAGAAAAAAGCAAGTTAAGCAATTATTAGTCGATTGCACCTAACGTTTTTAAAATTTTACTACATCTTTTTGTAATCTCTACAATCATAAAATTACTTGTCCTGACCGACTGCCTTTTATGTTGTAAGCGCTGATTTTAGCAACTTTCACCCTAAGGGGGTAAAGTAAGGGACGAACGGTTGTATGGTAGTTAGTCATTTTCAAATATTAACACGTAATAAAAAAATATAACCCCATCGAAGCCGCGGGCAATAGCTATTATTCTATATAATAAGAAGTAGTTCATATATTTAAGCCAATTTTAAGTTTTTTAATTCTATGTAGGTAAGTAATTCTATGGCATAATGAACCTAGCATATATACATTATAGGGTTTGGTTCTACTTTAACTTGTTTTCGGCGAATATTATCTAGCTCCTGACACTGTTATACTACGAATATACTGTGATCTAGCTTCAAAATACTACCTTTTTTTATAATTCTCACAAACATATATTATTAAGAAAATAACTGGCGCGTGACAACAAAACCCAAACTACAGAAAAAGTGTGAAGAGCCGAGTTTGCTATAATAACATTACCTTTAGATGTGACCGATGAGACACCAGATCCCATTTTCGGCAGACATTCCCTTAGGAATAGTTATAATACGGCGAGGTTCAAATTACTAATATATTTTCAGACTAGGTCACTATGTGAATGTGGTAGAATATTTTTATTATTATGTACGTATTTTTTAGGGCTGTTGGTTGGTCCGTATTCAGTGCTTTTGTGGGGGTTTTTATGTTGTAGGTGAGATTTTCATGAATTATTATAAAACTAACTGACTCCGTCCTCGCAACTTCCCAATTTGCCTTGTTTTCGCAACATTTTTTAGGTGTATGGCTCGCATGATGTTAAAGGCGTAGAAGCTGACATGAATGCTAGAAGCTGGCATATATCCTTCCTCGATTAAAGGGCTACACTAAAATAATTTTTCAATTCGAACCAGTACTTCCTGAGATTACCCAAAACATACAAACTCACATACTTTACCTGTTAATAATATTAGTATAGATTAACACTTTTTGTGGTATGGCTCTCTGAAATAGATTCGATATCAGGTGAAGTAAGTTTTAAATTGTCCTATCTGTAGTAAATGTTTAGTAATTGTCGCGTCTAGTCATACAATTATTTAATAGTATCATTAATGTGATGAGTTTTTTGTAAAGAACCAAAAACCCTAACCACGCTAATCTGTGGGGCTGATAAATTCTAAGGTCGGGTTTAAGTCTATTACAGAGCGACTGCCATCAGACCTCCACAAGCCAAATACTAGCGGAATAGTGAACTGATATTGAGATTTTAATAATTATTTTTGTATTTTTATATTGGATATAATTTGAACAAGGTTATAAGTTATGTAAAATCACGCTATGAGGCAATTTACTACTAGGGACCGAGCAGTGGCATAATATAAGCGCACATGAAACTGCAGGAACGGACTAGTACCTATAGTACATAAGTATTAAAACACAACTATCTCCAAAAGCTCCCAGGGGGTTTGAAGACATGTTATTTTTAAGGACAAAAATTTAAACCGTTCACTATTAAATTAAAAGTAATTTTCTATTAAACAGATATGTACAAGTTACGTTGATGATAAGAATTAAAGGTTATTCAAAAAAGTATTAAACTTAATAAGTCCAAAAAGGAAAAATATATGTCATCATTGGCCCGTGGCAAATATCGACAGCGGAAAATTGATGAGCTTCGGAGATAGACCCTGCTTATTACTGACATTAATCATGAGGGAGGTGGTATAAATGATTTGTTGTCAACTTCGAAATATTGGCTTGATAGGGTCTTTTTTATCGGAAAATAAGTTAACTCTATTAGAAGTAAAATGCGTTTAGGTTTATCATATTAAATTAATGTTAATATAAATACCCATTTGAACCTGAGAGTTCGTATAGTCTTATAATTTTCTCTTTTTCAATATGAGCTTAAAGACTTCAGCATATCGTCGTCTAGACAACCTACATATAAACCTCGAAGTGACCTTATTAGACTGCCTATTTTTGTAAGCACAAAAGGTGTTTGCAATCCCATTTAGAAGGCAAACGACCCTTAAACAGGTGGCAACGAATAAGGCTCGAAATATCTTTTTCTTATATACTACTGATCTTATTTGGTGACAAAATGTATGACCAAACTAAATTGAGTAGTTCATGACTTTTATTTTGTAATTTAACTTTCAGAGTTTCACGATCTATAATATAATTATTACTAATAAATGTGAAATGATTTCATTCTCGCCTTTTAACAATAACATTATACTCGTTATGAAAAAGTATATAAATGTAATAAAAAAACTGTGTGAAAATCTAATTTATATTATTGGAAAAAATTAGGAGTTCATTTTAACCAAAAAAAAGAGTACTATGTACCTATTACTTGGTCACTGTGCATAACTAATTATTTATTTATTTGTAAGTAAAAATGAGTTAATTCAAAAAAAAAAAAAAAACCAACAAATAATATTTTGTCCTCGTATGTAAGGTTCCTATGCTTTTATATAAAATAAGCAGTTGTTTCTTATTTTTATTTAAAACTGATGAAAAAAATAATCCTCTCTGTACCTAATGACCTTTTTCCCGTCTCCTGAGTTTGTGGCATCACAATAAGTCATTAAAATTGCTGTGTGATACAGAATCCATGTTATTCTTCTCACATAGGTGTGTAGATATACTACTAAATTATACATTACATTTTAATGAAACGAGACTAGTAGTCATATCGGAAGTACTTATAAATTCTAACTACTTTTGAAGGTGTAATTATTTTTCTTCTAATAGTTAAAATTAATTTATTAGTCTTAATTCGCTGACAAACATATAAGTATTGACTATAAATTACAAGGCAACATAATGTCTATTATTCTTATCGTAAAAATTATGGACTTATACTGTTTATTGATTTATGTGGAGAAAGCAGCAGAATTAGTATTTATACATTATATTTTTACATATAATATTTAAAGAAGCTGTTTTTGACTACAAAACCAAATTAATTCAAATACACTAACTACAACAACAAAAATAAAAAATATTTATTATTTAACATGAATGTAGGTATATCTTAAGAATATTTATAACTTATCTTAAACACTTGCTACCAAGTAACTATTACGAAGTTAAATTCAAATTGCACTCTGAATTATATAACCAAGTTCATTTTATGAGTTAAGTTCTTACAATGAGCTAAAGAAATCTGACTAACGGTTCACGGCTTTAGACGGCATATTATTCCAAATTAGGTTATTAATTGCCATTGTTCAAATTTCCGTGAAATACTTAATAGCGATTTCTGATTGGAAAATGATGAATTTTATATTTTTTTTTTCTTATAAAAAGACAACTCCCGATTTACATACTTTTAATTGCTGAAGGCTTATTTTATGAAGGGTTATAAAGCGTGATATAGTACGTTACACGCCTTTTTTCATGCCGACCGCAATTGGTAACGATACATAAAGATTATGACAAAGAAAATAATAAATGATTTAACTTAATCAGATTTTAAAATTATAAGTTCTATGTTATACTAATACAAACGAATATAAAATAAAAATACCTAACGTCCACTAATTAAAATACCAAAGGTGAACAATACCACTACCACGGGACATATTCATCCCGTGGGTGTCGTAAGAGGCTACCAAGGGAGCAAACTACGCAGGATAACGGGCTATGTCCATCAGTGTGTGACTGTTAAAGGCTGTTGATGATGATGATGAACAAGACAAGTAAACCAAGTTTCAAGTATTTGAACGTAACGTAAGTTCATTTAAGTTATATTTTACCTACCTTATAATCATAACCGCAAACAAATCTCGAACTACACATGTAATATACAAAAACATTATGAACATTTAACAAACCAGTATAAATATCAATGCAATCTGTTATAAGAAATATAAAAGAAAATCTGTATACTCAACTGCTTTTAAAATTTTAAAATTACCTACTGATTCTCTGACTTCTTATCGTCTCTAAGTAAAAATATTATGATGATATCCATCAAGATACATTTATTCAGTGAAGTAACAACACGAAAATAACTCTACATATCCAGGACCTAGCTCACATTTCAGGACAATTTATGTATAATATTTTGTACATAAGTATTATATTGCTGCTTTTTTTCCAATATTAAGTAACTAAGTACCAAAAAACATACTTTTGATGCATCAAATTAGAAAACATCTCATAATACACTTCCAAGAGGTAATTGCAACATAAACCTCTTTCAACGGTGAAAAATGTTATTTAACAAAATTATAACCTACTACAGCTATTTATTAAATTTTTTTGAACTTTATTTTATCAATGAACTTTATACAAGATGTTAATTTTATTGACTAGCTTATTGAGACACCTATTTTTTAATCTTATTAGCAACTATCGCAGTTTCAGCTATGGTACGAACAAGTTTGTTACGCGAAAACCCAACTAATTTCGTGTCACACAGGAGCACGTCAGAAAGTTCACGATCAATTGCTACTTACCGTGAATAATTTCAAGTACCATTTCGGGGTAAAAAAGAAGTCAAGCTTTTTCAAAACATGTTCGCAAATAAAAAAAGATTCTTTGGCAGATACACAAACGCCGAATACAAATAATTATTAAGTGCCATCACTTGTTATGTTGAAGTAATTCCACTTTGGGCACGCAAATTAAATAAAACTTTAGCCAGCAACAAGAAAGGTCACAACGTAATAAACTCTAAATTGAAGTAAAACTCGGGAGCGTGGTTATCTTTGCACTTATGCGTTTTCAGTGGGATTACAATTTTTAGACATTAACCTTTCTAACTTTCGTTAACATATTTTACAGCCTTATGAACAAGAAAAACTAAATATATTCAACTTATATTTTTGTTCAAAATGATTAACTTCTACATGTAACTGAAGGCACGAAAGGAAAACGACTCATTTGAACCTCGAGCCGTATGTAACATTTTTATTTAATTTCAAGTTTAATTGACAATAACAGTATTATGTATAAATACCCATATCCTAATATTTTTACGATCATACGCTTACATTGTATCATCCATTACGCAGTCCGTGTACGGTTTACTAATTATTTCAATGAAACCCTTAGCTTATCCCATAACAAAGCTGTCATAATATACTGCCCGGCCTACGGGACTAAAAAGGGTGTGAAATTTTTTCGCGATATCGAATATCGCTTAAATAAAATATGAAGGTGAAGTTTTCTTTAGTCATAATACAGTACAGAGTGAGACATCGTTAGGATAAGTGAGTTTTAATGTCCCCTTATTAAGTCACAAATTTCTACTGATATAAACCTTAACTAGACTTCTAAGTATATTATTATAACTGGAGTGATTTCGCAGCCGGATTATGATGTAATCGTGAAGCTTACCTAATATCTAATTCAGACTCAATCGTATAGATAGATGGTGGTGACTTAAGAACATTTTAGCATTGGAATAAAATAATGCCAGTGTTCGTATAATGGACTGTGTTTTAAATATGGCGGCTCAGTAAAGTATGCTGGCAGAGTAATTAAACTAAACGTTGCTTAATTGAAACCATATTATTAAAA